CGGAATTCGGTTAGAACTGGGGGGTGGTGGTTGTGGGGGGCTGCATTGTTCCGTTAAGCCAAAGGAACTGTCTCAGGGTTGAGGAAATCCAACAAGTGAAGGACTTTGGAAAATAAGTCATGGCCAATTCACGTTGCTGCCGTAAACAAAAACCTCTCTCCCACCATTGAAACGTTCGCGGCCACTGGCCAGGATTGAAGTCAGGCGACCGGATTAATAAATAAATAAACGGATCGAAAACTCTACACGTTCGTACACAAAAGTGTGTGTGTGTGGCTTTAAAAGCAGGAAAACTATATATAGTGGGCGACATTCCGGGGAATAACCCATTCCCGTGCCGTTGTCGTTGACGAATTTGATGCATTGTTATTGTTGTTGAATGTGCTTATGCACCACAGCCAATGCAGCAGCAGCAGCAGCACCATCATCAAGAAAGCATATGTTTACCAGAGTCATAGTTGCAGCGTTCTAACCACACCGCTCTACCCCACTCCTCCCTACGTAAAAATGCGCTACGTACACGTGAATTACAAAACGCCGATTCTTATGCACGTGCGCAACTGAACGTGGGCATCTAGTGTCGGAGAATCGATGTTAATCGGCAATTTGATGGATTGTAACAAACGTCTGGCTGGCGCTGATAACAGAATGAGATTTGGTCAGCATTTTCTGAAAACCTTTGCTCAGGCCTAAAATTTTTATTTTTTGTGTCCGAATTACTGTAAATCCTGTTGAGTATCTGTGCTTCTGCTGAGGTGGCCAAGTTCAGGGGAACTGAGCTGGCACCGTTGAGATATTGGGTTTGAATTTAGGTGGCCGCTTGTGATTTAAGCGAGGTTTCCGTAGAGTATTCAGAATGGGAATCTTTATATGTAACTGGAGGAATCCGATGAGCTGTGAAGCTCTTTTTCACAGATGTCCAGTAGGGGCACGGGGTCAGAAAAATTACGGCAACAAACTATAAAAAACACGATGGGAGTGCAAAGTATAGGAAATGTAAGGAAATTACACGCAAAAAATAGAAATAAATCTCAACCATTTTTATTTTACAAGGTAAAGCCCACTGACAAATTAGCTTCTATTTCAGAAGCGACCTGGCCACAAATGATAGCTCAGCGAAGTGGCTTGTCACGTGGACATTTATAGCAGTCAAATACTCTAAATGCGTATTGACTAAATGTGGAGGGAAAAATTGGAGAACCTGGAGAAAAAAATCCACGCAACCACTGGTAGAGACACCGCAAACTCCAAATATACAGCAGGCGTCAGGGTCTGGATCGAACCCACGACCTATATACCAGGCGAGGTAGTTAACATCTCCTAGCCACCGTGAGGACGATGAGAGAGACACCGCAAACTCCAAATATACAGCAGGCGTCAGGGTCTGGATCGAACCCACGACCTCCTGTATACCAGGCGAGGTAGTTAACATCTCCTAGCCACCGTGATGACGATGAGAGAGACACCGCAAACTCCAAATATACAGCAGGCATCAGGGTCTGGATCGAACCCACGACCTCCTGTATACCAGGCGAGGTAGTTAACATCTCCTAGCCACCGTGATGACGATGAGAGAGACACCGCAAAATCCAAATATACAGCAGGCGTCAGGGTCTGGATCGAACCCACGACCTCCTGTATACCAGGCGAGGTAGTTAACATCTCCTAGCCACCGTGATGACAATGAGAAAGACACCGCAAAATCCAAATATACAGCAGGCGTCAGGGTCTGGATCGAACCCACGACCTTCTGCAAAGCAGTATTGAGCTCACCAAAAAAAATACCCCAACCAACATGTTACATCCATAACAGAGGTTTTTGTGTTCGATTGCGTAAATATATAATGCGTCGTTAATCCCACCACCACGCGATACAGCCGATTAGTAAGTTTTGTCACGCAAACAAAACGTGCCAATTTGTTACCAGTGTAGTGGCCTTATTGACGACGGAGACTTATTCTTTGGAGGCAACACGTATTTATTACAGACACTTCACTGTACAGTGGCTAATCTGTTACTTGAAGAGGTAACGGCCTCTTCACCCGCACTCTATAGAGGAAACATTCCCCGAGCCTTAGCCCACGCCGGCTCCCTGGTTCCCTCTATCCTGGTCCTCTCTCAGGAGGCTATCTGACCTGGCCCAGCTTCGGCGCAGGTCCCGATCACCAGCCACACGAGTCCGGCCCTCAGAAGGACATCGGGCCCTCGCGGCTCCGATGCCGCACCCCCTGGCTTGCTTTGCCCGGCCCTCAAGAGGACAGCGGGCCAAAGGAGTTCCAGGGTCTGGCTAGTCGATCATCTTTCTTCAACTGGCTCTTCATCTTGCTTGAGTCGAACTGCCCTCTCAGCTCTCGGAGTCCCACCTTTTATACTGTCCCTCACTGAGGGGCGGGGCTGGGAGGGATCACAGCGTCCCCCACAGCCCCACAGGGTGGTGGCCGTAGCGGACGTGTTTGTGTGGCCACCGTTACACAACCGCGTGTCACCCTCCCGTTAACACCTCTACACTAGTACAGCACATCGGTGTGTTGGAGAGTAAACCCACAACATTTGCAATTCGAGTACGACATTTCGCCAGTAATCACAATCAGCATCATGAGGCGACAGCCAGAGTTGTGGAGAAATCCTCCTGTTTCAGTCTCAAATAGAAGGGTAAATGTGACGTCGTCCCTTGTTAGCCAATCAGGTGCGAAGGGCCAGAAGGGGGGGGGGGGGGGAGGGGTTAATGTCTGCATGTACATTACATTTTGTTTCCACTGACATTTCGCGAAAGTTTATCTCTGACAGTTAAATATATCGCATTGATCACGTAGCAAAGTGCGTGGGGAAGTGCGCCCCCGACTGTGTAAAGGATACACGGGGCCACATGAATGAATTATTGAGGAATTGGAAGCCTTGCGATATATCCTGTTATGGCACGTGGGGCCGCACTGCTCTGCAAGTTCTGATCAGTTTCTTAGTGTCAGGGCATTAAGCCAAGAGCAATCATTGGAATGACTTTGGTGCAAAAGACAAAAGCAAATTTCTATTTATATAATTCCACAATATATTGGTTGCACTGTAACTGTCTTTTGTTGTATGTATGTTGATGTATGTACACTAAAACCTTCGATTGCGAGCATAATTCGTTCCGGAAACGTGTTTGTGATCCAAAGCACTCGTATATCAAAGCACTCGTATATAAGTTGTGATCACGTGACGCTCGGCAGACAAAGCGTATACGTACTGCTCATATTGCGAGACCCTCGCTCGTTTATCAAATTAATATGTATTTAAAAATGTTGCTCCTCTTGCAAAACACTCGCAGACCAAGTTACTCGCAATCCAAGGTTTTACTGGATGTTGAACTTCTTTCACACCGTAACTAAGTAGCCAACAGCGCCAATCGGAGGCGCGGGGGAAAGTCAACAAACCAAACACAAAAAGCAGTTCAAAAATAAATTAGTTTTCAATCCAGATGATTTTAAATTGCATAGCTCCAGTGGCTTCCTAATATCGGAAGGAAGAGCGTTCCAGACGGCCGAAGAAGCGCATCTGAAAAGCGCCGCGCGATGCGGTGACCACCGTCTTCGTTGACCTTGCTTCCACAATATTTCGTACTTTGTATTTCTGGGAGCGGAAATGCGGTGGTTCTGGTAGTTTTGGATTGTCACAGCTTTCCCCCTTTGCGCATTGCGGGACGAGAATTTGTGGCGACGACTGGGTTATTAAACCGAGCTCGACAGGCATGGAGACAAAGCAGCCAGTTTGAGAACTAAGAGGCGACCGTGCTATCTTTACGCGTCACGTTTCATCAGCCTTTGCTTCATGGGTACGCATAGAATAGGGTTTAGAACATACAAAGACAGCTCCACACAAAAAGGCAAGCATCGCCACGTAAGGATCGTAGTTAACGCAGGCACATTTTTTTTTAAAGCTGTGATTTTTTTAAATGCAATAACTTTAGACGCGCAATTCCACCACACTATGCCTTCTACAATCGCTTTCAATTGTGTTTATCTACGACCGTGTGTTCGCGTGTTATTTGACGATACAGAGATCGGCGAGTATTGATTGCCTGTTTCGTGTAACAACCGTGAAGAATAAAGCCACCAGGTGAATTCCAAGTGACGATACAAACTGAAAAGTGATGAACTAGCACTGGCCGACGCATTTGCGTGGAATGTAACTTCACCGTGCCGGGTCATGCCCAGACATCGGCTTTAATTATAATTCGATGGGGAACCCACCTTGCGGAAGGTTCTACACCAATGACATGCCAGTCGCTCATTGTCGAAGACTTTGTGGCTCTCATAGCTTTGTATTGGACGTTATGGTTTTGACATTTCTGGGGCAAAATAGTTGTTAAGTCGGAAGGCGGGAATGTCCTCGCCAAGAGAGACATTTGTTTTTACCTTAATTTCTATCCAACGGGCCGCTTTGGTGATACAGAGCGTGACGGACAGACGCTAGCGAAATATCTGTATACATATTGACATAAAGCTTTCGTGACTGCAGGAATTCATGTTCTTTGGGTCTTTTGGTAAAGTCACGTAGATAGGTTCGAAGAAAATAACAAAAAAATAACAAAAAACTTCGACGTTTCGATCGCAACACAAGCGATCGTCATCAGGAGGATGACGATCGCTTGTGTTGTGATCGAAACTTTACCGAAAGACCCAAAGAATATATGGATACATATATGCAAACAGCGGCTGCGTTTTAAATGAGGGCCGAATCGATTCACTCATCTGGCGATTTCTCTGCTGTCATAAATTCATGGCCGTGATTCTACTTTACAAATCGATTCGTTGGGGGTGTTTTTTTTCTAAATATATAAATGCGGTGAATCGAGCGGCCACGCGTGGGAACGCAGGAGACACGTGTGAACCCATCGTATAAAATATACCCAAGTAAAAAAAAAACAACAGACCCCCCCACCACCCCCCCCCCCCCCACAACTGATTCTTGCATTGCACAGGCGATCCGATGTTCGCGCCGGGCCACTCGCGAAGACTCACCGCGAGAGTTGGTGGCCAGGTCCGCGATTTTCTGGAACGCGTCCAGGAACGTTGCAGCAGCCACCACAGTCGTTCTGAGTACGAACGCACACAGCAAAGGTGACTTACGGCAGGCATCCAGGGCATGCGTACGCTTCGCGTCGCTCTGTATATGCACACAGACAGCGCGACACAAACGGTGCACTGCACATTCTACGGAGGATTAAATACCTTAAGCGGCAGAGCAGAGGCGCGGTGCTTATCTCACTATGCTGTTATTCATCATTAGAATTGTTTTGCTTGTTTACCCAGAAAAGCCTCACCGAGCCTCGTATGTTAAGATTCTTTCGCACCGTGCGTAGCCAAAGCGGAGAGTCTCGGCTCATCTCAGGAGGGGGTCCTGCCAAAGTGTTTTTTTTTTGCAGGAGGGTGGCTAGACGATCACCAATTAAGCAGCCGGCGAGAATGTTCGTTCAAATTCGCCACATTTGTGACCGCGACGCCGACCTGACACACACACACAAATGGTCCACTCTTGCACGAACCACCTATCAGAATATTCAACCATAACACAGGTTTGAATTTTTGGGTTAGATCGCGCAAATACATATTGCCGTGTCGTTAAACCCGCCACCACCCGACACAGCCAATTAGTAAGGTTGTTTACGTAAACACAAAAAATTCCAATCCGTTACTACGTCGGCACGTATTTTTTTTTACGGTGGATAAACGCAAAGCATTAACCAGGCGGGGGTGGGGGCGGCGGCCTGCAGAGGTTCGAACTGCAAACAACTGCGCCAAAGCCACGAGCATACTGCCAGTCTTGACCCGTGTGACATTTGTTGGGATTCCCGGGGCGAAGGCTGACGTCGGTGTATATATACGCGCGTGTGCGTGTGTATGTGTGTAGAACTGGCCTTCATAGCACTTGTCCCAACAGTCTGTTAAGGCTATGCGGGGGATCTTTGTAGAACTTCTTTTGCACCGCGCGTGACCAACCGTGCCAATCGAGGGCAGCGCGGGGGAAGGCCAGCTGGTTGGTAGCGTGGAGAAGTGTGGAGAAGTTATGGCCACAAAGTAACCGACACGGAACGGGGCGGGGGGGGGCTGGAAGGCGTTACTGACGCCAGAGCCGCGCGTTCTTCCCTTTAGTGCAGGTCTCTTTGGCAGCTTCAGGTATTGAGGCCGAGCACCGGAGAGGCATTCACGCGAGGGGATGCAGCGACTCTCCCTCGGTGACGTTACCGCCACACGGCGTGACGCCGACACGGTTCCCTTTATTGTTTTGTAATTTAACGGTGGCAAAAGTGCGAGGCGGGGGAGGGGAGGGGGGGGTGGCGCCGACGAAAAGGCGGCCACAAAGCGGAGGGGGGAGACGTACCGGAGCTGGGAGTGAAATTTTGTCGCTTTGTTGGTAAAGTCCTCCCAGACGGGATAGCTGCTCTGAAAACGACAAAAGAGAAGCAGCAACAACAGCACGCAGAGTCGTCAAGGCGGTTTTTTTTAAATTAAAACACGACGAAGAAAAAAACCAAAACGTCCTCCGCAAAACAACCCTCGCGTCACGGTTTAATGTAAAATCTCTCTGCCGGGCGGATATTGTTCCAGGTTTGGCCCCCACTTTCGGCTCTTACAACAACAACAACAAAAAGCGTAAAAGCTCCAAGAATGTGTTTTTCAAGAGAGAAAGAGAGAGAGAGAGAAAATAAGCGTGATTGTGATCTCTTGGGGTCACGGCTCGCACGTCACGTGACGCCGTGGGCACTTTGCGTGTGTAACGCGCACGGTCAGAGCAGTCAGAATATTTATTTATATTGGAGGAATCCGATGAAGCCATGAAGCTCTTTTTCACAGGTGCCCAGTAGGGGCACGCAGTGAGAACGTCACAACAACAAACAGTGCGGAAACACGACAGCAGTGCAAAGTAAAAGGTAAACAAATGACCCAAACACGTACAAATAAAACACTAAACCATCCACATCCTACCAGGCAAAGCCCACTGAGGTAGTAACTCATTGTTTTAGATGTGCTGGGCACAATACGGTAAAAACTAATTGAGGCCAATGCATATTTACAGTAAAACCTTGGATTGCGAGTAACTTGGTCTGCGAGTGTTTTGCAAGACGAGCAAAAATTTGAAATATTAATTTGATAAACGAGCGAGGGTCTTGCAACACGAGCAGTGTACGTATACGCTTTGTTCTGCCGAGCGTCACGTGATCACAACTGACATACGAGCGCTTTGATATACGAGTGCTTTGGATTACAAACACGTTTCCGGAACGAATTATGCTCGCAATCCAACGTTTTACTGTATTTACTTTGAGCAGCAGCAGCAGCAGAGTGAGACGCAATCGTCTCCCGTGAGTTCGGTGGTCTTGAAAACAAGGTTGTGTTCCACCCTGTCATGCGTGGCACGGCCACGTGACAGGCAGGGCAAAACTGGGTCGTAGCTGACAGTGGCCACTGAAAACTGGCGGCATCCCACTGTGGTTGGAACAGCTGGGTCAATGTTAACCCAACGTTGGCCCGAACAACATTCCATGTTCGCTCTTGTCTCGGTACATCTCTCTCTCTCTCTCGTGTCTAGATGTCTCGACCGCTATCTACATTGGGGTACCACGGTATCGAGATGTTTACTACATCGCGTGGTATGCAGGAGGTCGTGGGTTCAAACCGGACCCCTGAAGGCTGCTGCTGTATATTTGGAGTTTGCGTGTCTCTCTCTTTCTCTCTCTCTCCCTGTGGTCGCGTGGATTTTTCTCCGGGTCCTCTGGTATTTTCCCTCCACATTTAGAATCAACATCACCACGCGTTTAGAGCATTTGGCTGCTTAGAAATGTTGGAACACGTTCATAAACTCACGCTCAAATTACCAAGGGCATTGATGGAAATCAATGAGTTGTTCATTGCACATTGTTAATGGTAATACGAGATTATATTAACGGAGCTGGTAGGCTAACTTAATGATATTGCCAAAATATAATTTCCTTGTGAAGGCACTTGACTATTTTCACAAAATCCCTGAACCGATTTCTATAAATTAGTTCGAAAAACATAACCACCAACCTGCACTGAGCAGCGTGGTAAAGTATGGTCAATAAAACCCCTATAACCTACACAGCATGGACAGGCCTTCAAGTTACTATTCATTAATGTATTCATAATAAAAAATAAAGAGGTAGGGGCAGGGGGGGAGTGGTGGTGCACGGGTGAGCACACTGCGCTCGCCATTGCTCATTTATTATTCCCTAAAATATCCTGGGAGATTTTCACCAACACTCTCCGAATCCCGACGTGCCAGTCGCCTCGTGACTTCCATTTCGTCGGGCCGACCCCGAGTACCGTCAGTTCCGCACCGGCGTTAAAAACGCGGCAAAAAGCGGCCGCCCGTTTTTGGGGTTTGTACGTGTCCAAAAATGGTCACGCGACCACCACCTCCGTAACGATCCTGCGGGCCAGCTTATTTACACCGCGCGGGTGAGGTCACGAGGCGCGCGAGGGGAGCAGGGGCGCACGGGGCGGCTGGTGGTTGCCTTGCGCTTCCCCGGCAGAGGGGACGGCTCCTCGACGGCTGTGAACGTTGAACGTCGCCGCGCAAATGTTGGGTGCAACGTGGACCCAACGGTTTCGACCTGGATGGGCGCCGTCCACCGGAGGTGAGATGTTATCTCCCTCGCTGGTTGTGCAAGGAGATCGCCGGTTCGATCCCCACTACGGACAATGCCTGCTCGGAGTCTGCCTTCCCCGTGGTCGCGTGAATTTTTCTCCAGGAGTTTTTGGTTTTTGCCTCCACATCTACAATCCACGTGCGCATAGATTAATTGGCTGCTGTACGTTTTCCGTTGAGCTATCATTTGCAGCCAGGATGCTTCTGAAAAATAGCTACAGCACATAGCTCAAAAAAAGTTAAACTTTAGTTAAGGCATGCCAACTGGAATTGAGGTCTGGGTTTAGTGGTGGTGCTAGAACATTGGAGGGGGAAGGGGGGGGGCTAAGCAGATATCATGTTTGCAAGATCTGTAAACTCCTCGTCAAATGACAGATTCGATGGAAATGTAGTGAGGTGAGAGCAATCAAACTCAACTTAAAACTAAACTCTTTTTTTTATTTTACCAGGCAAGCCCCACTGGGCTACAGACCTCTCTTTTCGCCACAAACGATAGCTCAACAAAGTGGCTGATCATCGTCGTGTGGATATTTATAGCGGCAGCCAAAATGCTTCCACACGCTACACCGTCAGCTACGCCGTCACGCGAAAACACTGCACTGCAGCACGCGGTGGGGGGTGGGGGGGTCGGGGGCAGGTAATTGGTCAGGGCAGATATGTGGCGTTGCACTTTAATTGCAAAAAAATAATTGGAAGGGGCCGGATGATTGCGTCGACATCTTGGACGGCAGCTGGCAATGCGTGAAGAGATCCCTGCTGAGAAACCAACAAACCGTGCTAACCCGCGCTCTTATTTCTGAAATCAATTAAATGTTTTTTTTATATAAACACGCTGTCAAAAGTAATCACGTAATTAGATTGTTATATTGGAAACACCGAGTAATCACTGATCAGAGACTTGATTTGCTTTGAAACGGTAACCCTTTGAGCGGCGTTCGCCGAGAGTGAACGCAGAGCTGAAAGCCACGGGTGAGATCGAGGGACAAAGGGGGTCCGAAACGGTGACGCTCATTATCACGCAAGGGCCCTTTCGTCAATCCGCGCGGTGACACTGGACCACGCCGGCCAGCGTGTTTCCGTGAAGGTGGGTAGCATTCGTGCGGCACACAGGAGCACGGAAGTAAAGTACGACAATGGATTTCGCTGCATTGCCCCCTCCGCTGCCTACCGCGTAGCCCCGTGGACACCGGGGGGGGTATTTAGAATGCAGTGCAGTGCGTCGGATTTCAAATGTGCGGACTCTCAAGCTGCCGTACATTGCAAACAACCCGAGACGAAAAAGCGTGCGACGTTCGGCAGAATGGCCTGTGACGTGCCGCGTGATGGACACTCGGCGAGGTTCCCTCTCGTCAGGTCAGGCGTGGTGCTTGCTGTATGGGTGCCACGGTGGCTATGCGATGTTAACTACCTCGCCTGGTGTGCAGGAGGTCGTGGGTTCGATCCCGACCCTGACGATGCCTGCTGAATATTTTGAGTTTGCGTGTCTCTCTCTCTCTGCCCGTGGTTGTGTGGATTCGTTTGGCTGCCATTAATTTCCACGTGACGATAAGTCGCTTCGTTGAGCGATCATTTTTTGATCGCTAGGTCGCTTCTGAAAAAGAGCGACATAGCTCAGTGGGCCTTACCTGCTAAAATAAAAACATAGTTTAGTACGTTTCACTGGTCAACTGAACCACGTCTTGGCTACTCCTGCCCCACTACAGTATTCACGGGTCTCTTTGAACAGTCGATAGGCAACTGGGTGACCTCAAAAATGCCATCGAGTTTACTCACGGCCCAGTGTATACTAAGCCCACCCCAAGTTGCTCTGAAAAACCAAGTAAGCGCGGTCATGATGGCCCAGGAACAATAAAGGCTTTTTCAGCGCTAGCATCAGAATAAAAAAAATGGGACGATTGGCCTAAAGCCAGACTTAATTGTTGTCTTAACAAAGCGGACAATAAGTCTCCTTCACATATCCCACCACGTAAAAACTAAAAATACACTTCAACCACAGGGCCTTCAGGCAGTGATTAACTTCAGCAGCATTTATTCAATAATAAGTAAACCCTGCACCCGTTTCGACACACATTGTCTCATCAGCAGAGTGAGGCTTTGATTGACGCAATTCTGGGTGAACTGCCCGATGTTATTGGCAAGGATCCTCTCTTTCAAGATATGGGTCTCCAGTTCGATGCCAAATTATATATATACACCATACATAACACAACATAATTGTTCCACGTCGTTATGGATAATGTGACAAAAATCTATTCTTTCGCTTGTATTCTCTACAAACGCGCTCATTATTTTACGTTAATCGGGTTTTGGTCAACCCTTAGAAATCAGAGCAGGACAGTCTAAAGTGCCACGAGTGCATAAATAATATCGCCATCCTCGTTCGTCTGCCAGAAAGCAGCATCCCCTTTCTCCACAATCCGGATTGCTCGTTCAGGCTCCGTCTGGATTTGTTGGCTTTTAAACAAAAAATAATTTTGTAAATAATCGTGGGGCTCAAAATGTATCGATGCAACCCAGGCCACTCCTTGAAAAAAAGTAGAGGGGGCAATGTCATCTCCCCCGCGTCTCGATCGTATTTATTTCATTTGCTGGTTTGAATAAAAAAGGAGATTTGACCAAGGCACCGCAGAGATGCAAATGCCGCAGCAGTTAGCGATGCATGCATAATTCATCGCAGCGGTAAAACATCATTTTGGTCCAAGGTGATGGAATGTTGACCGGTAACAAAAATTTACGTCTCTCATTTAAAAAACCAATCCGGATTTGTGTCTAA